CAAGCGAAGACGTGTGGGTTGATATCGTGGAGCACTCGCCAGGTATGTACCACACAGCTGCTGTAGGCGCTTTGTTATCACTCACCACGCTTTTTCTACCATGTGCAGGATAAGTGAGCTTTTGTTTACATGAGACCCAAATTTTCTGTTGTACTTCAGCAGTATAAAGGCAAAATAGTGCGAAGTTAAGCGTGGACAAGTTTTTTTTTTCTTTTGTGTGGAGTGTGAAGCATGGACGCGTGTCGGGAATGTGGCGGCAGATTCGAGCAGAGTTGTGGCGGCTGTCCGCCTCTGTTGGCAGTGGTGTTGGATGGGGGCCGTGCTCGCGAGAGACAACTATTTTTGTTTATTAATTCTGGGGCGTTTGTTGACTGTAGGCGTTGATGCCTGTGCATATTGTGCGCTATTGAAGTGAACGTGTCTAAAACAGTTTCATCTGCTGTACGTTCCATTTTATACACCTACAGTACTTATACGTTATGACTACTATCAAAGAAGTTTTGGCAAGGTTTCGTTTGGCGTCTCTCAATTTTTTCTTTGCGAGTGGCCGAATGTATGCCGAAGTATGCATCCACGCCGGCACGCGTCTTTATACACTACCGTGATACACGAGTTGATGCGTGTTTGTGTGCAGTGTGTTGCATCGTCTTAGGTAGGGCTCGCAAAGGTTGCATCTACACTTAAATGTTCATGCAGCTTGTTTAGTAAAGTGTTAACTTTCGGTATACACAAGCAACATAGGTTGCCTCATGCGGCCTGAATCTGTGCATTTTAAGCCGTTCGTTTATCCTGAACTGTAATTTAGAACGAACATTTCATTGATAAATGTGGCCAAATTGCTTTACCCACTGTACGGGCACTAATTCAGTCATAAGTCCACGCGTTCGAGTACCACCGATTTTACTCTGCTTGTTAACACTAAGCTTGTATTTTGGCTTGGTTTATTAAATCTTTTATGCACCTCGTCTAACCTTGGTGTTGAAACATTGCGTAACACTTTTATGTGTACGGACATTAAGAATAGTTTATAGCACCACCTCTAATAAAGTTTTCTGATTAATGACAAGCTTTACAGTATATTGGATAAAGTAAACTTTCTAGGCATGCGCTACAGATGTTGATGGAATCTGTAATATGAGCAGAATCAATATTTAATTTATCACTTAAAATTCGAGGTAACGTTATAAATCATGGTAAGCATGCATAAGTCGTGCAATTATTGCTGTTAAAGTGTAGAATTGGACACCGTATCTATTTGAGAATAATAAATATAGACTGCAAGTTTTCAAGCTATTAACACTGAAGGAATCATACGAATTCGGAAATCAGTTTTATCAGATCTCATTGCTAAATCGCGGTCAATAGCTTGCAAGATTCTGGTTCCCGGAGATCGTTGCAGAAGCTTACATGCTTTATTGGAATGGTGTGTGGTTCAAGATGAGTGCCTCATATGTTTTTTTTTTTTTTGCATTGACAGCCTATGGTGCTTGAGTGAGGGGTACTGCCATTTTAGCCAACCAGAATGATTGAAACTGATGATCATAATTTGGCAGCACACAATAGTAATTTATTGACACCAATTTTCTACATTATACCTGTAATTGTCCCAGTGGAGCAGCCTGAAAAAAAGCGACTAAGTTGTATTTGAAATCAAATTTATGTTTAATAATATAGGTAACCTGCAATGAGTACTTGATGAAAAGGCATACCGGCATGCATGTATTGAGGTACCATTAAATTTGCTTTCAACGCACTAGGCACGAGCGCAATTCAAGCATGGTTTTGACACATCTGCAATGTGGAAATTGCGTTTTCTTTCATAAGGTTGCAACTGTGTTCGCCAAAACATCAAGAAAGTTTTGCCTGCAAAATCTCTAGTTTCTGTAAATCCTGCTTGTTTTAGGACACATTGTCCCAAATCATTTTAAATATACTGACAAATTCAGTTTTTCTAAGAGACACATGTCACTAAATTGTTTTTTTGGTGTTTCCATCGCAGCCTATGCGTGCAACTCGTACGAACTGCGTGTGACAGAATTACAGACAAGCTTGTCATCAATGGTGGCTCGTGGAAAAGTTGGCTACTGAATGCACAGCAACTGCGGATGACTTCTGTTTTCTATGGAAAGGGAACTTCCCTGAGTCACCTGGCCGCTGTATGTAAGTCGCTTGCATGTTCAGGATGTTCAAAACTAAGCTTTTAGTTTTTCTTTAAAAAAGTCAGTGCTGTAAGTTGTGCGTGTAAAAGCCACCTTTGCAGATGGCTAAGTGTTCAGGAGAACACAATGTGCAACTATAGTTATCACTGTCAGCCGTTTCCTTGAATAACATTTAATATTGAACTCATTAGTGACTGCAGCAGGCGGCTATGCACGAATTAAAATTTTGAGCCAGTCACATTTCTATATAGGTCCAAAGAATTCTGGCATGCCTGTGCTCAGATATCCCACTGGAAAGTATAGTTGTGGCTTGTAACATTGTGCATGCAGGACATTGAGCACTGGCACACAGCTACTACTCTCTGAGGTGCCGCATACACTATGATCATGGATCGAAGCCATTGACAAGAATTATAATTGTTACCTTTTTACTACCAGCTAAACAGTATATACATGATCGAAGAATTTTTCCAAGCGGGATTGTCTGGAAACATGACTGCCACAAACTATTGTATGCAAACGTGCCCACTCATTGTCGGCATCAAAATTTTTGCATTCTTAGTTGATTGGGCAGCTGACAGTAACATTGTCCTACTTTGTGTTCCTCTGGACACATATCTTATCTGCAAAGGCAGTTTTCTGTTCTTAAGGAGGAATTTTATTACAAGCACAAAGCACGTCTCTGAATGTGTCAGTGCTGCTCTCTAAGGTTTTATGTCATGTTTCATTTATGTGTAATCTGCAGTTCACTTAAAATTGACCTTTTGCATTGCGACAAGGCTGAAGCAGATCAATGGTTTCATTTTCACTGTAACATTGACTGAATATTTTGTTTTATTGTTATTGCAACCTTATTTCATTGTCTTCTCGAATTAAAGCCGTAAGTGCAATCTAGAGACTTTTTATTGTCATACTTAATCATACCCAACTTTGCCAATACCTAACCATTTGTGATATATTAGTGATACCTAACCATGTTTAACATTGTTAATGATGAATTACAGAAGGCATTCTAGAATACTGTAGCATTTTAAACTTCACTGTATCTTTTGTGCGAGTGTTTTGGAATGAAATTAGAATTCAATCTAGCTAAAATCACAAGTTGATTGTTAAACAGAGACTTGTGGTCAAACCCAGTAATTTAAATTGCTGATGGTTCTAACATACCTAAACTTAGGAGTGTGAAAAAATCAATTGTTCAACTGCTGCTTTTGGGCTGTAAGAAATTTTCTACCTTTATATATTTGCTACTGCGCCAATGTGTTTGCTAAGCTAGCCTTCTAAATTTCGTTGCACTGATAAAAGTCTGCTTCAAGAGAACAGTTTGTGCCTTTCTATGTGCAGGTTTTTGGACCAGGCATCTGGGCAGCCCCTTAATCGCTTTGTATAACTATAGTTTCTATAAAGCGTGGAAGTTTTGGGGCAAAGTGGGCAGTCATTGTTATGCTTAATAAAAGTTACAAGTGTGCAACAAGATTTGTTGAAGTTTTGCATTTACTTTTGGATGCGCAGTATATTGCATTCCAGGCAACACCAGAAACAATAATGGGTTGACGTTTAAAGGCCCGTCTTGTCTCCAAGCAAAACAGATTATCGTATAGATAGATGGCAGTTACTAAATAATTCTTTCAACAATTACGACACCAATTTTGCTGATTAGAATAGTGCCAGCAATAATTTGATGTGAAATTATGTTGGTGTTCCTACTTGTCACTCTCGGCAGTGAACAGCTCAATGCACCGATTGTAAAACGCTGACATAGTACAGAAAATTACCCACGGGAAACGCCCAACAAGCTGGTTTGCATGAAAAATAATTGTTTAAAAGGTGTTAAGAGATCTAGCAAAAGTCTCTTTAGAATCTTGGCAAGAAGTTTACTATGCTTCTCATAATAAAAGTATAGTAAACGTTTAAAATATTCTTTAAACATCTAGAAAGACGTTTTTAGACTTCTTGCTAAAGGTTTTCTTGCCGTATAATAACGTGGTGTTAGCACAGCTACAGAAGGTTTTCAAGCAGCTTAGGTTTAAATAAAGGCTTCTTATATAATTTTAAAATATCCTTTTTGGACTTTTACTAGAAGATTTTCATTTTTCATGTGTATAGTGAGTTTATTGTCACAGTTCTCGTCGTCGACCCTTTATACAATATTTCATGCCGGCGTTCTCTGGATACTTCAGTGAATTTTCCGTACGAGGCAAGCGCTGCACGTACCTCATCGTCGTGCACATGGTGAAAGAGCCAGAATATCTCCAATTGTACATCCTGGTTGACAGGGTCAAATATCAGGCATTCGCAGTATGTCACCTATAAGTCGCAAACCGCCAGCATTTTCTTTGTAGACTCAAGGTTCCTGAACGTCACCGCCCAAATGTGATTCATCTCGAACGCCCCTAAGGTGATGACTTCAGAGAGCATTTCTAAACGAGCCAAAGTAACCCTGAAGTTTTCGGCGCAGAAGAGCATTGATTTTACGTCTCCGTAAAGGATAACTGTGTTCAAAACACATGGTCCTGATGCCAACTGCGGCAATATAACTTGATACTCCTTGTTTTTCAAATCAGTGGTCCTGTTTCCGCGACTCCTCTGAGCCGCAAACACCGCCCCTTCGGAGCGAAGCATTTGTAGTCCGCACCGCGCGGTAGCCGGAAGTAAAATCCCTGAGCTAGCAGGCCACATGGAGGATTCTGACGAACGAACTTAGCACAAGACCGAGTACTTTTGGTGTAAAATGAACGGCAGCGGCCTCGGTGCAATATGTGTGCCAGCAGCCTGGAAAAATTATAAAAAATCAAAAAAGTAGAGCAAGCGAGTGGCAGGAACAGGATAAAAAAGAGCTGATGGCCTGCGCAGGAATCGAACCTACGGCATTCGCGTTATTAGCACGACGCCCTAACCGACTGGGCTAGCAGGCCTTTTTTTTGTTTCCGGTAAACTTCACAAACCGGTTGCTAAGATATATTACAATTCACTACGAACAATACAAAAAACTTAAAAATAACTAAGCTCGTCAAACATAACTATAACACATCACGTCCTAGAATTCCTTCATGGTCAGTAGGGCTTCTACCCCTTCTACCCATAAAGATACACATTCGTCTGTTCTTACTACCTCCAGTAATCTTGAGTCTTTCTTTAAAATACTCCCTTGCTGATCTTCTGTCTGGGTCACAATAAAATTCAGCCATTCTAGAGCGCCATATACTGTGTAAGCCAGTCATCATGATAAAATCGAAAGGTAATCCATCGTCATTCTCTATTGCCAAATACCTGATCCCATGAGTGTCTAACGGGAACTCTTTTTTGATTGTCCTTTGTAATACGTCCCAAAAATAAACTCTTTCCCAACAGTGCAGAAAAACACGGTCGATGTTTTCCGGTTTCCTACAGATTAGACAGTGAGATCCCCGAAGCATATAAAACCCACGCTCCTCCAGAAAGGTTCTTACAGAAAGTGTTCCAGTGTGTAATTTGAAAAAGAACGTTTTCGCACTTGGAGCTGCTGGCATTTTTTAACTCGTTTAAGTACATTCTGACCTTGCGTGCTGTATAAAGCGCTCTGTACAGTGGGATGGGGAGCATCGGGTCACATAAATCTTTGTACAGTTTTTTCTTTCCAACAGACCACAGGCCGTCAGCTGAAGAACGAACACACAAAAACCGCACGCTGGCCGCTACTTCTTTCATGTTCCTTGCACAGCCCCTGCGGTAACATGGGTGCTCACAACAAACTCGGGCAACAGTCTACTTAGTCTTGTTTGACATACTGTAAGTAGGAAAGGATCTCTTGTCTCACGAAAAAAGAAAAACCTATTTACTTACTGCTTGATAAACAGATGTCCTAGCCCAAGGCCTCCACACTTCACCCGTCTAAAAAAATTTGTGCGACTGCACCTTTCCCAGTTAGACCCCCACATAAATATTGCAAACACCCGATGTAATTTTTGCACATTGACCCGGGAACAGTAGAGCACTTGCATGACATACCACAGCTTAGACACAAAAAACCAGTTGCATGGAGTAACCCTAGCAAACATGGACAGATAAGTTGCATTCCACCTATTCGCTTTCTCTTTAATTTCTTTTGTTTGGTGTGTCCAATATTCGTCAGTACTTTTGTATGACTCGAGCGGTGCTCCGAGATATTTAACTGGCGTTCTTGTCCATTTATTGGCTGCAAACAATTCCGGTGTGGAAGGCCAAAATCGATGCCAGAAGCCGAAGCATTTACCCTAGTTCATGTGGCTTCCTGTAACTTCGGCGAAAGATTTAGAAACTCGGATTGATTCTTCAATACCGACATAGGAAGTGCTACAAATCGCAACATCATCAGCGTATGCGAGTAATTTGACCTCTGAAGATTGTACTCTAAACCCATTAATAATGTCATTCTGCAATATCGACCGACATAAAGTTTCAATATAGATGCAAAACAACAGTGGACTAACAGGGCAACCTTGACGCACTGAGCGCTCCTTTAATGGGGGGGCCCAATGTCTTGATGATAATTAGTCTCGAACTACCATTCCGATATGCCATGGCTACTCCGTCAATAATTATCTTACCAACATTATTGTGCTTCAATACTGCAAACAAAAGAGCGTGGGCAACGCAATCAAACGCTTTATCTAGATCCAGCTGGAGTATGGCCACTTGAGCTTGACTGTTGTCAACACATTCGAGCACGGATCGCATTTTATGAACGTTTGTAGCTAAGGACCGACCTTTGATTCCACTCATTTGGTGTGGACCGACGATATGTTTTATTACTGACTGAAGTCTAGCCGCCAAAATTTTCATTATTATTTTGTAGTCTACGTTTGTCAGTGCGATTGGCCTGTACGCTGTGACGTGCCTGAGCTTTTCAGCCTCGTCTGTTTTCGGAATGAGAACGGTAGGCGATTCACCAAAGAATGATGGTAATTTCTTTTCCTCAAATGCCTCATTAAAAACGCCTGCAAGTATAGGAGACAGTTCACTTTTAAAACATTTGTACCACTTAGCACAAAGACCATCTGGTCCTTGAGATTTTCCGGGATTTAACTTATCAGTCACCCGTTCCACTTCAGATGCAGATATAGATAATTCCAAAGCGTTTTTCACTTCCTCACTCACTTTCGGCGTGCGTCCTAAATATTTTTCTTTAAATCTTTCTAGGTTTACCTGTCTACACGCAAAAGGGTTTTCAAAATGACTTGAAAATACGGATAAAATGCTGTCCGTATCAGTTACTTTGTGACCATCCTTCTATATTTTTTCGATATGATTCCGTCGAGCGTTCGTTTTCTCAACCCCTAACGCTCTTTATGTTGGCGTCTCTCCCACCGCTAAAGCCTCAGCCCTAGCACGGAGGAGTGCACCGCGGTAGCGTCCCTCGTCATGCAGTGCAAGTTTCTGATAAATATTGCGTATGTCAATTTTATACACTCCCGGTTGTTTGCACTCCAAGTCTCTTAGTTTTTCCAAAGTCTTTCGGAGTTCTTTTTTTGTCTTTTTTCTTTCATAACTCAATGCGTAAGAACGATCAATAGCTTTTATTTTTATTCGCTGCTTGAACTCTTCCCATTGTTCTGCTAGTTTAACTTCATCGTCCATTTTTATTTCATTCATACAGTTCATTACCTGATCTAAGAAATTTTCGTCAGTGATCAAAGTGGAATTCATCTTCCACAGCTCCCATGAGAAAGTTCCACCTTTTGTTTTTTCTCCCATATCACATTTAACTAAACAATGATCACTGAAATGTATAGGGTAGACAGCATATGTCTTACAGTGGGCTATTAATTCAAGCGACACGTAAATGCGAGCAAGGCGCGCATGGCTATTCCCCTGAAAGTGTGTGAAACGCACATCTCGCGTTCCCTCCATACAGCTGCCCACGTCTTTTAACTCGAATTCAGTAATTACGTCCGCTAGCGTCCTACTACTTTTATCGTAAATGGCGCGTTCATTTGCTCGATCTCGCCCGTTGAGGACGCAGTTAAAATCACCAAGTAATACATATTTCCTTTCCAAAGTGAAGTGCTGCTTTAGGCTTGAAAAAAGTGATCGCTCCTCGCAAATACTTGGTCCATAAATACACACTATACGCCTCTGAAATTCATTGAATTCAAAATCACAGGAAACCAATCTACCAGACGGGCAAGAGAAGGTATCTTGCACTACCAGACCCGGTATCTTCTTAATGAACAAAACACAGCCTGCAGACGTGCCTATTGCTTGACTTACAATTGCGTAGTAACGCACCGTGAACCTCAGCACCATGCCCCGGGTCTCCTCCTCACCGTATACTTTTGTTTCTTGTACAGCTAGTATATCCAGATCATGATCCACGAGCAGCCTGTAGACGTGGCTCTGTTTCCGCTTGGCGGCAAGACCTCAAACATTTAACGTTGCCACACTAAGTTTCGGTGCAAAATTTATGTCTACACCATGAAGAAGTTAGCCCGGGGCATGATGCTTACCTTCAGCGTCTAGCATAGAAATAGACATCTTCGGAGCCTCCACGTGGACCCGTGCCACTGAAGGGCAAAGGAGGCCAGTGTTTGTCCAATGTCGGGTTGGGACGCAGCCTTGTGCTGCTGCGTCTAAACGAAGTCGCCTTCGCAGGTGGCCCCTCTTCATGCTTTTCACTAGACGCCTCACGCCGTCCTGCAGACTGCTCGCGGGGTCTTTTGCTTGACGCCCCACCACTGATACTCTCGCACGACACTGGAAGTTCGGTTAATTCCACCGGCTCCGGCTCCTTCGATGGGGTACTTGTGAAGCCTTCTTCGGTTTGGCCAGCTGGCTTTTGAGTAACCTCCCCAGATTCTATGTCTGCTTGTACTGTTGGTTCATCACCACCAGTCAGTGTGGCAGTACCTGTTGAAGCTTCTGAGTTCACCACGTCGCCTGCGCCTTTAGCCGCGTCTTCAGCCTCGGTCACGTCCATCACCAAAACTGCTGCGTCTTCACCTTCAGCTGATCCTACAGCCGATGCGTACGTGCGCATCCACGCGTCTTCGCTGTGACCAAACCGCCGACAACGCGAGCATCGGAGTACCTTACACTCTCTTCTAACATGGCCGGTACCTTGGCAGCGCAGACACTGCATTGGCCGACCAAGTACAACCACAAGTGCCAGTTCACCAGCCACCCCGATTTGATGCGGGAGATCTTCAACCTTCACGCCACTCTTGAGCTTAAGTAGCACAGTCCGTGTGGTTGACCCCTTGTCGCTGACTCCTTGAACACGCCAATTTTCCCTGGTGGCTTGTACGACTTTTCCATAAGCCGCCAACGCCGTTCGCACGTCTTCATCGTTGACGCCATACAGAAGCCAATGAAGATCCTGGGGGTCTACAATGATGCAGCGTCGACCCTTGACTTTCAGTTCCTTCACGTCCAGCAAGCATCTCGTAGCGTCCAGATTGTTCATGGTGACTGCCCAGACATGATTTATCTGGTAGGTCCCCAGTGCCAACACCTCCGGCAGCAGTCCTGTAGGTCCGAGCGCGTCTCGGAAAGCTTCTACTCGATACGGTCTGCCGCGCACATCACCGTGTAAAAACACAGTGTTTTGCGTGACGCGTCCCTTGGGCAATGGTGACAAAATTACTTCGTATCCTGCGTCTTGCTCTTCGCTCATCCTGTTACCGCGGCTAGTATGTGCCGCAAACGCCGCTCCTACGGAGCACATAATTCTTGCGTCCGACGCGCGTGAGGGCCGACGAAAGAATGACTGGGCTATCAGGCCACATGAGAGATTTTAAAGAACGACCTTAGCACAAGACTGAGTACTTTCGATGTAAAATGGACGGCAGCGTCCTCGGTGCGATATGTGTGCCAGCAGCCTTTAAAAATTATGAAAACCCGAAGAAGTAGAGCAAACAAATGGAAGGAACGGGATAAAAAAGAGCTGATGGCCAGCGCAGAGATCGCATCTACGACTTTCGCGTTATTAGCATGACGTCCTAACCGACTGAGCTAGCAGGCCACATGAAAGTTTTTAAAAACGCGACTTTAGCACAAGGCCTAGTACTTTCGATGCAAGTTAATTGGACGGCAACGGCCTCGGTGCGATATGTGTGCCAGCAGCCTTTCAAAATTATAAAAAGCCGAAAAAGTAGAGCAAACGAATAGCAGGAACGGGATCAAAAGAAGAGCTGATGGCCTGCGCAGGGATCGAACCTACGACCTTCGCGTTATTATTACGACGCCCTAACCAATTGAGCTAGCAGACCTTTTTTTCTCCTTTATTGCCTTCTTGACTACAGGTCAAGCTAATATGACAATCACTATCACACGTGTTTCATGCGTGATAACGCGTCAAAGATAATACATCTTCAACACAGTCGGTAGTCTTATACACATTTCGCACTTTTATAACAGCTTCCACGAAACACTCATTAACGGATAGAACTCACATCACAGTGTCTGTACGATAGCATACTACGCCAAACTGAATGAAGACCAAGTAAAAATATAACATCCAAAATTTGCACAGAACTATCACAAAAAAAAACGAATTTCATATGGAGTAAAAGGTAAATCTTTTTTTAAAGTCCTCTGTAAAATGTCCCAAAAAATAGCGTTCTTACAATCAATAAACACATGTTCAATGGTCTCAGGTTTGTTACACAGGAGACCGCTGCTTCCCCATGGTACATATACCCCTCTCTCTCTTCAAGCCACGTTTTTACTGGCAAGGTTCCCGCATCAAGTTTAAAAAGGAAGGTTTTCACATTGGGTGGTATACACATGTTTTTTACTCGCTTTAGTATGTCATGACCATATGATTTTTCATACTTTGAACGGTACAGGGGCAAAGAAAAAACATTCTGTATTAGGTCTTTTATAAGGCGCTTTCTTTTCACAATAGTTAGGTAATCTATCGAAAACCTCGCCCTTAAGAAACGATATGAGAACACAACTTCGCGCAAGACCGGTGACAAGGTATGTCGTTCTCGCCTGCCTGAAGATACAAAGAAGTCAGGCATGTGGTGTAACAGCGTTGTTTGAATTAAAGAACGTAAAAAAGAGTCTTTCTGGTCTCTAATGAGCAGGAAACGTGATATTACTTGGTTAAGAAACAGATGGCACAGAGACAGCCCTCCTTGCTTAACTCGCCGAAACAAGTTCGTTCTAAATGTTCTCTCCCACGTAGAGCTCCAGATGAACGTGGCGAATATCCTGTGGACTTTGTGAATGCAGACCACAGGAAAAATTTTAAAGAACGACCTTAGCACAAGACCGAGTACTTTCGATGTAAGTTGGACGGCAGCGGCCTCGGTGTGTCATGTGTGCAAGCAGTGTTTAAAAACTATAAAAAACCGAAAAACGTGGAGCAAGCGAATGGCAGGAACGGGATAAAAAAAAGAGCTGATGGCCTCCGCAGGAATCGAACCTACGACGTTCACGTTATAGGCACAACGCCCTAACCGGCTGAGCTGGCGGGCCTTTTTTTTATTTATTGCCTGTCATCGGCTCACGTAAACAATACACATAATAACAGATAATTACAGAACACAATACAAAACATTGTAAAAACCGTGGCTCAAATGATGTGGCCACGCATCTGTTAAAAAGTTTTTATCGTCGATAGTAATTCGACGCGCGGCAACCATTCTGGGGTGAATTCCTGCAACTTTTGTTCATCCACAAAATTTCTTATATATTCTTTGAAGTACTGGGTGGGCGCTCGTGCATCTACATCAGTGTGCATGGCTGCCATCCTGGATTTCCAAATGCTATGAAGAGCCATAAGCATTATCATATCATATGGGGTACCATCGTCACTTTGTACTTGCAAATAGTGGATTCCATATGCATCAATGGGGAAATCTTTTTTGATCGTGCGCTGGAGCACGTCCCAAAGAAATATAGCATCTCAGCAGGCAATGAATACATGCTCAATTGTCTCCTCCTTTCTGCATATTATGCAATGCATGCCCCAAGGAACGTGAAACCCCTTTGCAGCCATCCAGGTTTTGATGGTCAGCGTACCGGTATGTAATTTGAAAAAGAAATTCTTAGCACCGGGCGATATTTTCATCGCCTTGACGCGCTTTAGTACAGTGTGGCCATGGCATACATTGTAAAGGGACCGATACAAAGGCACTGATAAAAACACATCACATAGGTCCTTGTACAACTTTGTTCGTCGGACTTAACTCAAGTATTCAAGTGAAAACCGCGCTGGCAGAAACCTACAAGAAAGTACAACTTCGCGGAGAAAGCCATAAACACCACCAAGTACGCTGCAGGTTGATACAACCATGTTAGGCAAGTGTTGCCCCAGGCGACGTTGACAGAAAGTGCGAAGGAATGGGTTGTCGACCTCTCTAAAGAAACAAAATCGATTGACTACCTGTCTTAAAAACAAATGCGACAAGCCCAGTCCTCCATTTCGCACTCGAAGGAATAAATTGGTCCGACTCGATCTTTCCCAAGACGATTCCCACACGAAGACAGCGAACACACGGTGAAATTTTTGAATGTTTACCCTTGAACAATGTAAGACTTGTAAGATATACCAAATTTTACTCACTAAGAATATGTTGCAAATTGTGGCTTTAGCAAACAGACCAATTCCAGCCATTCCACTTGTTCACTCATTCCCGCAGGTTATCCACTTGGCTCCTCCAGTACGAATCGCTGGCTTTGTAGCATTCGAGGGGGGCACCCAAGTATTTCACCGGTGTCGTAACAAACCTTATGCTGGCAAAACTGTCTGGGGTTTCAGCCCAGTCACCGTGCAAAAAGCCAAGGCATTTTCCCCAGTTGACAGCACTGCCACTTGCAGCACAGAAGTTGGTTATGCATTTGAGAGCATCTGCATTGCTGTCAGAGTCCGCGCAAAAAATGGCAATATCGTCCGCATAAGCCAACAGCCGGACTTCAACCTCGTGCAGCTTAAACCCACGGACACAGTCATTTTATATGACACTCAAACAAAAGGACTCTATGTACAAACAAAACAATAGTGGTGAGAGAGGACAACCCTGACGGACCGAACGCTTACTGGGATGCGCTTCCCCGCCACCTTGTTAACGATTAGCCGCGCTAGCAGTCTCGGTACGCCATGGCAACCCCCTCTTTGAATATTTTGCCTAAATTCACATAATCTAGGATGCACAGCAGAATTTCATGAGGCACCCTGTCAAAAGCCTTCTCGAGGTCGATTTGCAGCATTGCGACTCGCGCACCAATAGCGTCGCGACATTCGAGGATGCTCCGGGCTGCGTGTATGTTAGTGAGGATAGTTCGACCTTTAACGCCGCACGTCTGATGCGGCCCCACGAGCTCCGTAATGACTGTTTGCAACCTTTTAGCTAGGATTTTCAAGAATATCTTGTAATCTTCATTAGTGAGGCAGATTGGGCGGTAAGAATTTACTCTGCGCAGTGCAACGGGGTCTTCCGATTTTGGTATAAGAACAGTGTGAGATGATGAAAAGAATGGGGGTAATACTTTCAGCTCGAATGCCTCATTATAAACGTCGGCTGAGACAACTTGAAACACTTATAAAAGGCGGAAGTCAGACCATCAGGGCCAGGCGATTTCCCCGGATGCATGCTTTCAATAGCACTGTGAACTTCCTCTTCCGAATTGGGTTCCTCCAATATTTCTTTTGTATTAATGTCAAGCTTTGGCATCAGCGGTAAAAAATCTTTTTTACGGTGATCGACATCAACTGAGCTGGCGGCGAATAAACCATTGAAGTGCTCAAAGAAAGCACGCTCAATAACATCTGCGACATCGCTGACTTCACCCTCGTGTTCGATTTCTTTTGTCTGATTACGTCACACATGCCACTATTCTGAGCCCGACGCCCTTTTTGACGGTGCTTCTGCCATTATCAGTCGCTCGGCTCTTGCGAGAACCATAGCGCCGCGGTATCTTTCGACATCGAACCGCTCAATTTTACTTTTCAATGCGCGAATATCTTCAAGAAACATGCCGGGCATTCTACATTCTTCGAGGAGCAATTTTTCCAGGTTTCTGCGGATGAGCTTTTCTTTTGCTCCTTTTTCTCTGCTTATAGCGCTCGAGCGTTCCAAAGCCTTCAATTTAACGACCTGCTTGAAGTTCTCCCATTTTTCTCTAAATGTCTTTTTACTGCGAACTTTCATTTCTTCAACTTCCGCCAATACTTCCTCCATAAATTTTTCATCACTCAGCAGATTCGAATTCAATTTCCATAGTTGCCACTCGAAGGCCCTTTTCGTTTCTTTTGTGCTAGCTACTACAAAGCTAACCAAGCAGTGGTCACTAAATGAAACGGCGTTAACACATTTTGCCTTGCAAAGCGGTACCAATTCTACACTCACGTACGCCCTATCTAGTCGGGCATGGCTGGCTGCCTGAAAGTGGGTGTACTGCATAGTCCGGCCACCACCGAGACATTCAGCCACATCCTCCAAACAATGTTCTCTTACTGTATTGCTTAAGACAGCGGTACTTGCATCACTGTAATGTCGTTCGCTAGTTTTGTCTTTGGCTGAAAGGACGCAGTTGATTGATTGATATGTGGGGTTTAATGTCCCAAAACCACTCTATGATTATGAGAGACGCCGTAGTGGAGTACTCCGGAAATTTCGATCACCTGGGGTTCTTTAACGTGCACCCAAATCTGAGCACACGGGCCTACAACATTTCCGCCTCCATCGGAAATGCAGCCGCCGCAGCCGGGATTTGAGCCCGCGCCCTGCGGGTCAGCAGCCGAGTACCTTAGCCACTAGACCACCGCGGCGGGGCGAAAGGACGCAGTTGAAATCACCAATAATGATAAGGAGCCCATTACATTTAGTATACTGCTTTAGTTGTTAGAAAAATATGCATCTTTCGTCAGTGACAGTCGGTGCGTACAATTATATTACGTGCCATTCCAAACACGAAAACAAAAGATTACAAACAATGAGCCGACCAGACGTACATGACGTTAAGGCTTCTAATTTAGCGCCCAGACTCTGTCTGACAAACAACACGCAGCCGGAAGAAGTCCCTATGGCATGGCTAACTATAGCAGAATTCCGCGGCAAGAATTGGCGCACCATGCCCCCAGTTTCATCGTCGCCATGGAGTTTAGTCTCTTGGACTGCCATAATGTCAAGGTCGAGGTCACTTACTAGTCGATAAAGCTGATATTGTTTTCTCCGCGAGGCCAGGCCACGCACATTTAAAGTGGCCACACGAAGTGAATTTTCTATTTGCACCATTGTAAGGCTGCGAAAAAACCCAG